GGCCTTGCAGAGGAATCCCCGTCTGCGAAAACTTATGTAGACAAGTAATGTGGTATTAAAATTACGGAATAGATGGTACTGTGGGATTAACACCCGTCTTACACCAAGTATAACACCGCCATCGCCGGCACGATGTATAATAAAGCCGACATGGTATCAACACCCCTCAGCCCCTGCTTCTATAGGAAGCTTCTAGTTCTTGTCCTCGGGGCAGTCTTTCTTGTAGTCGTCGCCAAGCTGGCCGCGGACAGCACCAGGTACGGCAAGGCTTGAGTGAACATCGGTGAAGAATCCCTCGGGGTTTTCCTCAATCTGGCTGACCTTGAAGCCTGAGCCGGTGTCGACACCGGTAGCGTTGACGCCGGTGACGAAGGGGCCGGTCAAGCAGCCGACGCTGCGGCGGACGTTTTGGTATCCCTCGACGGCGACCGGGTTAGGGAAGGCGATGCTGGTGAGGTTGGGTTAGTATTCTGATTCAATCAAGCTATTTTTACATGGGCTTACCGAGGGGGGCCAGCCTTGCCCTTCTCTGCCTGGTGGATGTGGGTTGCCGTGCGGGCGGGGGACTGGTACTCGCCCTGGAAGTTGACCAGGGTGATGTTGTAGCAGATGACATTCTCCTTGGAGTTGATGCCGTAGTTGAAGTAGCCGATGGCTCCGGCCAGTCCACCAGTGAAGGTGTTGTTGTTATCGACGACCTGGTCAGGTGTAGCGATCACGTCGTAGGTCGAGGTGAAGTGAAAGGGGCCGGAAGAGCCCCAGCTGCCCTTGCCTCCCTTCTTGGTCCAGCCGACAGCGTGCTTGATCTCCTCGACAATGGGAGCGGCGGAGGCAGCAGTAGCCAAAGCCAGGGGGATGATAGCGAACTTCATTGTGATGGTGTGGGAGATAGTGAGTGACTGGGGATGAATGTACAGTTAGGATTGATAGATACTGGAAGAGGTGGATGAAGATGAGATGATGTGATACAGATCGGAACTTGGTGACAATGAGGGAGTTCTCATCTCTGTATATGTAGTAAACCTCGATATCCAGGTATGAGCTACATCTCAGGTGCATCTTCGGCAAGTACGGTCATTTCCCCTCAATTCCACAGCGCCTCTACACTCACTTGCATCATTGCTACGGCCTGGTGATGTGTTCGCTCAGCCAAGAACCGGAGGAACGATCAAGCGCTGTACGCCGGCGCCATTACCGCGGTCTGGGCTGTCGTGATGAATGGGCCAAGGGAATTGAGATTGCGGTGTTTGCCTCCCGTTCTCCCGTAGTCGCCGCGGCGCAGCAAATCGTCGAAAAGTTGGGAGCTTCTTGGCACGTTTTCCTAATCCGGGGAACATCGAATACCAGAAGCACGGTTATGACGCCGCCGATCACTTGGGACTCGGCAGCGGAAGCGCGACTTGCCGTCCACAAGTCAACCAAGTGGGAGAGTTTATGTCCTGTTTAGGTTCGTCCGGTAGCGTCAATATTTCGAGGCAAGCTCCTTGGCGGTTGCTTGGCCCTCTCCCCCAAATATGCTCACCGCGACGCGCCGGATCGTTTGCCAATGCAGCCCAACAGAGAATCTGACGTGGGAAACACTTGGCTTTCGCGGCTTGCTACTGCGGACATTTGAAAATCAATACTCCGCTGGCAGTTTTGACGATCTTTTCCATCCCACCCGCGCCAGAACACAGCCCGTTTTGGGCGCTCTTTCAGGAATCAATTGCTGGGCATCTTCCGGAAAGCCTCACATCCGACGGAATATCGTCTAAAGCTAAGTAAAATGCTTTTTGTGCTTTTTTCTTCTTCTCCCTACCAAGTTCAAGTCAACCCTTTTTTTCGCTCGGCATTTGCAAAAATGACACCGGCGCTGTTGTTGGATCAGCAATGGTCTTGGCGATGAGCCAGAGCCAATAAAGTGAGACTTGTCTGACATCGCTGGGAGCACGTTATCTCTGTGGTATGAACCCCCATGTTTCTTGCCCTTCAACTAGACTCGACCGCAACTATGTTCCATCGCAAACGTTGTGCTAAAACAGGTTCTTGAAACTCGACTGACTATTTTGTAGTGATTTTCGGTGACCCAGGTACAGATCCCCCGCCGAGCTCCACGCAGATGTCATGTAAGCAGTCAAAGAACAGGCAACTGGAAACTATCTGCATTAGATGTTTACATCCAGCAAACACATCAAGCCACGCAATTACGATTATTCGGAAGCTCATGCGCGCTCGGCCTTCGTCATATGCACGAATTGGAAGATCGGCAACGTTATCGACAGGAAACAGCCACCTCGCCCGGGAAGAGGCCGGAGAGACTCGAGGCTATTGGCTTTCACCAACTCAGCTCCTGCATTGACATACGTACAATTGGCAATGTGGTAAAAATCTTGCCCTATTGAGGCCATACAAGGTGAGGTAGTCCATGGGTTAGGCCCTCGGCAGCTAGCTGGTCAACAGTTGGCGCCTTGGAAAGCATCTCAAACATGCAAAATCGACAAGAAATATAGTGGCTGGGTCGGCATCGCTACGGTTCTAGGATCTATGCACTTGTCTGCATCTCAGGCTACGACTTGAGGAATCCAAAATGCTAGTTGCATGTGGTAATGTCGTCGATCAGCTTTATCAAGCTCTTCTCTTGGACAGTCGTTAGATGTGAGTTTTCATGGCTCGGGCCACAATCTCGACAATAGAGTCTGACCTACGACGAGAGATGCAGAACAATCGTACAGGATGAATCAGTCTTCATCGTTACAGTCTCAGTTGGAATGCACCTAGCTTCGGACTGTTGGGTCGATTTCGAGGGTACATTAGCTGAGCAGACACTTGCTCGGCTTCGCTGTGCCCACACTAAACAACGTCATCCTTGGGTGGTGGTAGGGATATCGTTGCTAAGATTTGGTTGCTGATGGCAGCCATCAATTGGCTGCTGAAGAGACAGAACTCACATCTGCGAGAAACCGAGATCACTGCTAGTAAGTATGAGTTCTCTTTCATGCTTCCTAGTCTACTACCTCTGGCTCGCTGCATACATTCCTGGGCAAGAGCACAAGGACTTCTGCAGAAGAGCCCGAAGCTTTAACCTCCGAGGAGGGATACGCGTAGTGTTCCTCCTAATAAAGAGGTCTGAATCCCGTGGAGCCCTGCTTTCATTTGAGAAGTATCACCAGCGCGCCTATTTGCGCATGATAATCGCATCGATGAAGGTTCATTCGCCCCTTTTCTGGCTTTCGGCTACTCGGTCGGACCATAAGTTGCAAGGAAACATCAGCGGAAGTTTCGGACCCTGAAGGCCGCCAGTAAACAAGCTTTTCAAAAGGGGCTGATCACGAGCTGGAATACAGGGGATATCCAAGACTTTCAGATGAGTTGCTAAGGCTTGACAAGTTGCAATAGTTGAGCCTCCACATTGAAGATCTTCAGGGACGGGGAAAAGACTAGTGAACTCGCCGATTTTATGGTGTAATTATGATTCGTTTTATTAATATCATGCTCAAAGTGCCCAGTGATGATCCGCGGAGTTGAAGCACGAGCCACATTCATTAACTCTACGATATTGAAAGTCTTCTCAGAATGCTAGAAACCAGCATGAATAGCTCGCAATGGGTTCGTAGCTTTCATCTAGCGTGCCGTTCATCCGATGTTCGAGCGAGTCACAGGGAATCTCAGCTCCACGGGTTCCGGGCAAGTCTTGCGGAGTTTAGACCCCGCTTGAAGATATAAAGACTGTTTGCCAAGCCGTTGTATCGACATACTTTCGTCGCAATCAGCATTCAACTTCCATCATTCTAACTATCAAATAACCAAACATGTTATCTCTACTTCACTCTGTGATTCTGGCATTCGCGGGTATTGCTGCTGCTGGCTCACTCGAACCCACCGCAACTCAAAGCGAATGCACAACAACGATAACGGTTCTTGATCCTGGCTTCACTGGCGATTACCAGCCGACGAGCACTATCACAATCTACAACCAGACAGTCACAATTGGAAAGCCTACAGACTGCCACGGCTGCAACCACGTCACAACTACTGTGGAGCCGGCGCCTTGGTGGGGTGGGATCGGTCCGGAGATCCAGAAGGTTATCTATGTCCACGCAACGACACCAACTACGATCACGTCACCCGTCTGTGCGACATCAACACCGTCTTCTACGAGTATCCCATAGCCCTGGAGGTAGTATAAGAGAAACTTTTATAAAAAATTCCTTATGAGATTGTACTTCGGAAATCAGGGCATTGGCTGGGGTGTTGGATCGATCACGTTTACACTTGAAGGGCTGAACATGGAGTAACTACTTGTGTCTACCATGATACCTGACCAGTATATGGTTGTAGCATCAGTGACCGACAATAGTATTGAGATAATTGCGCTCTGCAGAGATCCTTCGTGAATTGAGAACCTATGCTCAAGCTTCCCATAGAGTAGATGTAGACTTGCATTGTACTAGCTGGTTTATTACAGACTTGAAAAATATCTATAAGTCTTCGTCGTCAGCATCTTACATCCAGACAAAACTTAGATGGCCTCTTCAATCCCCATAATACGTTTCCCGTAAAGGGAAGAGATGCTTGGAAGCACCACCGTTTGAGGCTACATGTGCTTGTGAACAAGTACTTAGTCAGACCAGGCCGAAAGCAACGCTGAAGCTGCCCAAATCGTGTGCCTAGTCTCTCTCGGTGCTCTGAATGGTGTCATTGCCCACCGCAATTTTCAATACTTCACAGCTGAACAAGTCTCGTCTTTTGTTAAGATCATTCACACGGGATCATGAAGTAATTAGAATAGTCTCTTGCGTAAAATTATATAAGTTTGAAACATGAATTCTAAACATCCATGTCCACCCCAAAACCACCCCAACCCCACAGAAGCTATGTGTACCTAGGTATGTATCAAGTATACAACTTCCACTTGACTCCGTTGCCCAAAGCTGATGTGGACTGAAGAACAGATCTTCCCTAATGAAAGAGCAGCAGATTAGGGAATCCTTATTCGTGAAGAGACCAACAAGGTTCAGATCTTATTGGATGGGTAGGCCGCCCAATATTCCCAAGGCTCGGCTTATGTCATTGGTGTTGAAGCCGATATGACCCAGCGCGTCGATAATTTGGTTAGGTACCCAGCCGTATACGTCCTTTAGGGCGGAGACTATGGGCGCAGCATCATTGCCAACCACACTTTGAAGTGCCGAAGCCGCCAGTCCGCCGACAAAACCATTCTGCTGCAAAAGTTGCGCAATATCCAGTGGTGCCATGCCAAAAGCACTGTGGAGACCCCCCGCTATCTCCCCGGCGCCGAAGCCTGCTTCCTTCATGGTAGATGTTACCTCTCCAGCATCTTGGTTGAAAGCTTTTTGTAAGACGTCTGCCACCGATTCGATCCCTGTTATGATGTCCTGTTCAACTTTGCCTGCCCACGCAACAGCCGAGCTCAACAGACTGTTGAACACTTGCCCAGCGTTTTGCTCGATGTTGTTGAGAATGGACGACAGGAGATCGCTTATGCTTTGAATATGCACGTCAACTGTGAATTTTCCGAAACTGCAGGTTGCACCCTCAAAATCGAAGCTACCCCAGACTTGCAGGATGATGTCCGAAGAGCTTGTGCTTAGTGCGAAATTCGCATCGGCCGTTGCCTGCAAATGAAGAGAGCCTAGACCGACCCCACTGAGCGAAGGTAGCGATATAGTGTCATTGATGCCGTACTCAAACGCGGCGCTCAAGTTTTGAGAATCGGACAAAGTGCAACTCATCTTCGAGGTTAGCAGCCCGCCGAAGTCCACGTCGAAAGTAATGCCGCTCGCTGTAATGTCGGCATCCAGGTTGACACTTCCTGACTCGAACAGACTCACAGTACCGTTGAGGTGCAGGAAGGGCGAGGCCGACGTCTGGAGCTCCAACACTGCGCCACCCGATTGCACCAGATTCTTCGTCGTAGCATCTTCGATCGCCTTTTTCTGTGCTGCCGTAGTGACAAGCTGATTGTTTTTGATGGGATTGCCGCTGGTATCCACCTTGACGGAAAACCCGGTGCCATTTCCGATTATCGAGAATATGCTGCCGAGCTTCAGGGGAGCCATCTGGATGCTGGCTGTCAGCCCTTTCGTGAGATCGATTTCCACGTCGCCGTAGAACTTGATGTCAAAGATGCTGGCAACTGCGCTGAAGCCATAGTCCATGTTGGAAAGCGACCCGTCGGGCAATACTACAGGTTCCATGGGGTTTGCAGACCATTGGAAGGATAGATCGGTAAATAACACCGGTACATCCACAGGACATTGAGAATTCGTGAAGATTGTAAACACGTCTTCCAGGCTCATCTGAGACACATAGAAGGAAACGTAGAGGGGTGTTGGGACATCTTCGATCATCTGGCAAACGACCACGAAGTTGTCATCGTCAAGTACTGTCAGAGGGCCGCTGCCAGAGTCACCAATGTGCAGTTGACCCGATAGACCAATCGCTGCACTCGGTGGCTCAAAGATGACTCCGATGCCTACGCCAAATGTATCAAAGTGCACACCCTTCATTGTTGGTGGGGCCGGAAGAGAGGAATGATCTCCCTCGATCACCACGCTGAAGTTGGCCTCGGTGTTGTCGATGACCATGGACACATCGGCCTCGAATTGCTTTCCGAATATATTGAACGGGACGTTGCCAGTAACTTCAAAGATGACGAACTTGAATAGTGGGTTGATGTCAATTGTAGCGGTGGGTTTGTTGATGGCCAAAACGGCTGAGCCGCCGAAGGGTACGTGCATGGCATCGAGGCTGATAGAAAGGTGAGTGCCCACATTGCCCGATTTGAAGGCATAATTGATAGTAAGTGCCATCTGAAGCTGTTGGACGGTAAACAGTGATCCGAAAAATTGCAGCGCATCATCTGACTGGGCAGGCAGCTTTTTCAGGTCTATCCCCGCTCGAATGGCAAGTACATCGTTGTTAGTAGTATTACAAGTGAAGCTAGTCACGACAATGTCCGGAAGCGAGACCGGCCAGGTTCCGCCCAGAAGCTGTACGAGAGTCTTGAGCGAGTATAAAGCTTGCGTTGAAGGCTTGCTTTTAGCCTCTGGTTGCTCCGCGGTGTATGCAATGCCCATCATATAGGTCGCAAAGGTGCAGCTCGCGTAGATTGGATGTTGGGTGAAGAAGTCATTCACGGGCTTGACCTGTGGCTTTGAGGAATCTTTCCAGAGGTCTCTGAAGGCCACCGTGAGCGGGTCGTTCTGATTATTGTTGATGAAGGTGATGAAGTCCATGGTTTGGGTCATGGCGTTGACGTTAGCTTGCCCCACGCCATATGGTCCGGTGCTGATACCTGATAAGTAAGTAAGCCGCGCCAAAGGGGCATTGGACGTTGCATTACTGACGATCAGCACCGAGGCTGGTCGTTTGAGTCGAACTGAAACTGTGGTGTTGGCCGGTACTATTGCGATTGAGGTCAAGGTGCCGATATAATTTGTCCCGTCTTGGGTAGCCTCACTAAATGAGTCGTAGACCGTGACGCTGAAGTTCAAGCTATTTGAGAAAGATATGATGGGGGCAGACATGATAACAGTCATTTAACCCCCAACTTGATATGAGAGAGGATTTTAAGCAAAGGAACGAGATTTCTGAAAGCCGTGGCGACTGTTGTTGTGGTAGCAATGTATGTTACTGAACTATACTAAGAGGGATGTCGAGGGGCCGTCATTAAGACTGCTATACATGCTCCTTTTAAGTGCTTCAAAGTGCTACACGTGGATGAACCCGCCAGTGTACCCGTTCCTTCCGAATTAATCTAGAAGCATCTACTCCCCTTGCCGATGGTGCTCAGAATGCTGTGGGGCCTTGAGCTCTGGACTATGCATGTAACTGCAAACATCTAGGCCATTCGGGCTAGGACAGAATGGCCAGGTTCTTCACCACTTCGAGAGTTATCTCGTGGGCTGATCATGCCACATTTCACACGATAATTAGTGTGGTTCTCGGTGTGATGGACAGTCTGCGTAGCCTCAATCTATGGGCGTGGCCAGCTAACTCGGCACAATGCTGAAAACAGTATTTCAGGGCTGCATGTTTCAAGCCTTCTAGACCGAGGAAGGCGGCTAGTTGATTCGAGTTGATGGGGAGACAGAGTAAATTGCGGCTGAATACGGCCGGAAATGTAGGCCTTTGCGGACTGACTCTCCTACGTAAGGTACTTAAGAGGCAACCTCGACCATTCCGGCTGGGAGCAGTAAGTTCCGGGTTGGGTTTGGTCAGCAGTGAATCATGGGCTGATTGAAAATGGCATGCTCTTCTTAATTGCTTGATGGTGCAGTTGCCTAGGACTCTAGACCCCAATTTATCAAAAGTGAAAGAAATCTTTCAGCCTCACCTGACAAGACGTGATTGGGTAAGGACCGAGGGGAACGGCCCGGACGGGAATATCCTAGGCCAGAAGAAGATAGTGAATGTGAGGACACGCGCTAGCGGAGCAATCAGACGGTTGAATCAATGTCAAGAATTCATTGTTTCAAGCCTGCGTACGAATGTGGAGGAGAGAGGGGAGGGGGGGGGGGATGGCTGAATGTACCTAGCCCACGTTTCCTCCGGGAGTCAGGTGTGTGCCTAACTACATGGGCTGTTTGAGCGGGCATTTCTGATTTCACTCGTTGAGGGTTCTAGGCCGCCGTCCTGCAAAATTCCAAAATCCGAGTAAGGCACGCTGGGTGCAACTTCAACAGCGACGACAAGATTCAGACCAGAACTGTTTGCGTCTATGTCCATTAGCATTGCAGCAGCAATTTCATTAAATAGCTGTGAAGAGTGCCAATTTTTATATCGAGTCGCATCTACGATCATTCCTACTTACGATTACCTTACCCGATTCAATATTCTCGAATCGCTTCCCTCTCGTCAACTCGGCCATTCAAGCTTGTTGTCTCTGAACAATCATGGGTCCTACTACTACCAATCCAACTGCTACAATTACCAACAACTCGGGATATGGTGTGGACATTTACGATGTGTTCAACCCCAGTAGCGACCCCAGCACGCCGGTGCCTTTGACGTACACGCTACTGGCCACTGTACCAAACGGCGCCGTTGCCCAGCCGGTGCAAACCATTCATTTTGCCAGCCAAGTGCAGGCCATGTTAAGCGGCACCATCAAAGAACTCAACGGCAACTACTACCAGCAGTTCCCTGTGGCCGTGCTGGCGGTTTCCCCCTTCGCAGACTCGAATGCCATCACTATCACTAGTGACATGCTGCAAAGCATGGTGGACTCCTTCAAGTTCATCAAGTACGTGCAGGCCAACCCCTCCTCGCAGCTTTCCACCAAATTCAACACAGCCCTGGCCGACAAAAGCCAGGAAGATGCGGTCGATCAGCTTTTCAAGGGCACTGGCAGCTTTCAGTTGTGCACCCTGATCACCTGGACAGCGGTTTTCACCTGGCAAGCCCAATTCACAAGTGCCTGGCAGGGTACCTACTACCTTTATAGCGGGGGGGACAACAGCGCAGGCAGCACTTCAGACTCATCAGCACCAGCTCTACAAGGAACGCTGGCCATTACGGCTAGCGCAGATGCCAGCTCGGCGGTGCTGACAATGGCCGGCACAGGCAACGTGAACACACCAGTTGTGATGGCAGGAAATGGCACAATGCAGGAAGAAAACCAAGGAAATGGCAACCTATCTGTGGCGTTGACCCCGGCCTGGCTAAACTTAACCTCAACGAACGACACGTCAAGCTATGCCATTGCAGCATCCTTCGTCGGCAAGATCAACGACATTGAAGTGGCCGGCAGCACCAACCAGCTGAGCATCCCAAGCTCCTCGGATGACTCGAATTCCTCTCAGACTTGGCCACTTATCAAGCATATTATCGATTCCGTTGAGAGCCTGACCACATCGTTGGTAAACATTGGCTTGTTGTATTACATGGTCAAAGACTTCAAGCAGGACGCGATGCAAAAGAAGAACGACGCGCAACAAGGTGCCACCAGCAAGTCAGACGCGAAAGACAGAGAAAGCAAGGCCGAAGCGGATTCTAGGGCAAGTGAGGTTTCGCAGGTGAACAAAAAGTCGGAATCGAACAAGGCCACTATACAACTCGCGCAACAACAGTCCAGGGATGTCGCTCAGTCTCGAGCCATCCAGATCGACTTTAATGCTATTAAAGGGCAGGAGCAGAAGCTAGCAGAAGCTCTGGAAACCGGACCTTCGTCAGACGCTGTGGTGGAAGTGGCTGAAGATCTTGAAGCCGCTGGTAATAACCTTGGAAAAGCAGTCAGCGAGAACGCGACTGAGGAGGCTCGCAACGAGGCTTTAACTGATGCCTCTGCCAGTCTCAAAAATACAAGCGCCAAAATTGATCAAGAGCTGAAAGGCGAGGGAAGCCAGCTCTCACAGGAACAGGAAGGCGCACTGAAAAGCAGCGAGGTGGCGCTGGATAAGGCGGATGCGCAGTCCAATGCTGTAGAGAAGCTCCAAAAGGAGGAAGAGGATCGTGCCAAAGATGATGTGAAGAACAAGGTAGAGGAAAGTCCGTTTGACGACTCTGATACCAAGGCAAAAGGCACCGGTGAGGGAGGCGAATCTCACGATATAAAGATCTAGGTCAGATTGGTCGAACATGAATCGTTAGGGTTACTCCAAACATGGTTGAGTGCTTGGTTTTCGGAAAGAGCTTTAGGGACTATCATTTAGTTACAGACAATTGGATTCTGTTAATCGAATATCGTAGGGTATCTAACAGTAGGCAGCCTGGAACTATAAGTCCAGTCGGCAGCCGTGGGGAATAGTGATAGTAAGGACTTCGATGATTGTAGGCACACTGAATGAAGCCCAAGCAGGGCTTGATTGCTCATGGACCACACATGGGAAAGCTTCCTGCATACGCTCTCGGATTCATGGTCACCGTCACGTACCGCTATCTCTGGTCCAGTGACTCTGCAAATGTTTCAGTCTTTTTGCATCCAACCCCTGCCCCAGCCACGTTGTACTGTCTCATTGTGCATTGGTGGAAAAACGTTTGCCACCTCTGTAACACTACTGTCGGCTCTCTGCGAGACCTCTGCCTCTGAGATTGTAGATATTCCCAGTCCTGACGATCGCATCGTACTCGAGTCTGGTGAAACTGGCGAGACCACCGAGTAGAGCGTATTTCGAGTACCCGTATCAGTGACCGGAGAGACATATGCCGGGGGAGGCGAATTCGTCGTGGCGGTTGGGTCGTAGTTATCAGCTGGCAGCTCACTCAGCTGGGTCGGGGGATCAGAGTCCAGCTCCGCGACATGTCGATGGACGCCGGTGACCCCACTGGCCGCGACGGCTGCTGCTGGGTCGAGCTCGGATATCGGTCGTGGATCGAGTTCGGACATTGGCCTCGACTCTCCGCTTAGTTCCGATTTGTATGCATACACCTCGCTTTGCTCTGGTCGTGACTTGGTACTCCCCAGAGCAGCGGCACCTAATGCTCCTCCCGCGGCTGCAGCTCCCATTTCTGGTCCAACGTTTGCATTCGATGACATTGCTGCGGCATCGGCTAACTTTTTTTGACGATATTTCATGAAGAACTTGTACCCGATGAACATTAGAAGAAGAACGGCAAGAATAATACCAATCGCAAGTCCAGCTTTCGCGCCATCGTCCATACCACTTCCACTGTCAGGTGTCGATGTAGTTGTCACAGTCGCCGTAGTGATGCCTCCAGACCCAGTGCTCGTGGTAGTAACCACGGTTGAGGATGATGTTGTTGATGTAGATGTGGCGGCTGTCGGGACGGCTCCGGTCACGTAACAGTTCCGGATCTGATTAAAGATAGAGCTGTACTGCGTACAGCTGGCTTCAAGCTTGGTGATGTCGTCGAGATCGTCGCTGTACCAAGAAGACATTCGACTCCTGAATGAGGCATAGGTGACGGAGAGTTCTAAGCCAGAGAGTGTAGACGTATAATCGCAAGCCGTAGCCCCCCATGACATTGACGTGGTTGGCGCATTATCCAGGACGTCAGCTAGGTCCTCAGCGCATTCTGAATTTTGACGTCGGATCTGTTGTGAGCGGGCGTAGATGTCCGGCCGAGCCGATGCCGGTTCGGCAGCCGTAAGCAGGCCGGCCAAGAAACCGAGGGCGGAAGCGAGTTCGGAACGCATCGGGGCGGACGCTAGGAGTCTGATTATCAGATGGGTTTCCAAAATCAAGAGCCCATGCGTCCACGCGGTCTGGGGAAGTGCGGGACGGAGGGCATTTGTGTTTAGATCTAGACATGAGATATTCCGCCGTCGACGGATTGACCCAGAGACAACGTGATCAAGAAACGGGACCACGCGGCCATTGGAACCCCGGCAATCTGTCCAACAAATACACTACGTCAACAGCACCCGTCACATTCCGTGATTTTCGCTGTCCCATCCTGCAAAAGTCTGCACTATCGCAACTCCACCATCCATACTGCCTTGTAATCCACCGCCGGATGGGGACTATCATCGCTCGGCCACTGCTAATTATACAGAGGTGCAGCTGCCAAGCATGAGCGGACCAACAGCGACGGTTCGTCCCAATGGGCCAAGAATGGTCCGGCCTGGGATCTCAGCCACGGTGATTGCGCTGAAGAGGGCTGTGTTGTAGGTGATCAACAAGAAACCAAGACACCAAGTTACCCAACATGTGGGGAGACGTTGTTTCTCTCGGGTTCATCCAATTGGATCGGGATCGTCTTTTAGATGAAACAAGATGGGTTTATCCGCGTTCGCCCTACTGCTTGTTGAGCGGACGAGTCTTTGGGATGTGAGAGCCGGCAGCAGGTCGGCAGTGGAGTTCTTGGGGGAGATTTGATGTGGATGGTTTAGGTTGTTGTATCTTGATTGGAGCTTCGCTACCAAGGTTTCTTTTGACTTTTTCTTACTTCGATTGCTCCGGTCGCTAGCTGGGTTGGCAGCTCTTCCGGTACTGGAGCGGGGTCTCCAGCTGTACTCGAGTAAGGTTACGAAGCTGATCCCCGCCATGGCAACAGCAACAAATCATTTTGGTCAGTTTACGCGACCTTAGTGAATCATGGGCTTGATCAGATGAAGAGCAGATTCTGTCTGGAAGAGAAATTCAGAGACACGCCACCGTGACGTACCAGGGCTATGGGAAATGGGGTGACTGAGGCTGGGCCTAGGAAAAAGCATCCAGAAACATTCTTGGCGTTGAGGTCGTGGGACTGACCAAATGAGGGGCGGGTCTGGATCAACGGGAAGACATAGGAAACTCCGAGACAAATCTGATCTAATCGGCAAGATCATAGCTCTTGTTGATGTTGTACAGTTTTCACATTGTCGTGTTTCTCTTCGTTCTTTCTATGCCTACCACGCACTACTGGCACTGATGTCTTCTAGAATATCTCAGCGACCGGCAAATCGATCTCTCCCGGGCTTTGAGCGCTACTAACGACAGTTTAGCAGACCGCCGTGTTTCCTAACTATGTTCGGTACATTTGGGTCAGTGGCCCGCCCTCCTGGCATGGTATCGCCCTGCTCATAGAGCACTAGAATGAATCCGCGACTCATGACCGGCAGACCAGGAACCTTATGAGGCGCCTTTTTGGGGGGTCAATCTCAACCCCAAATCCCCAAAGAGAATATTTACAGGGCACACAGGTGGGCCGTCAAGGGGCAGAGCTGTCCGCTCATGTCCGCTAAAGTGGTGGATCAAACCTAGCACAGGGGGAAGGCAATTAAGCTCAATTTAACCTCGTCGTGTCCGTGGAACGAAAACGAACAGGTGTCTTGTGACAAGTGATGGTGAGATAATAAGAGATCTAAATGGTATCAAATGCTGGTCCAAGGAAAACTGACAAAAAAATAAAGAAGAGATCGGCAGACTCATCAAAGCCATCATAATATCTCGCCGGCGCATCCGTGACCGCCTCTCGAGCTGTCAACCCCGGCCGGAGCGCCGACAAGGTGGTCTCAGCCACGCACACAACTCCCGCGTCCTGCTCTCCAAGCTCCTCGGAGCGCACACCAGTGCAGCCAAGCTTAAGCCCCCCCCACACATGCAGTTTTCCCATCGTGAACCTTGTAGTCTTTTCACTCGTTGATGCGATGTTGCCAAACTTCTTGCTCAGCCCTTGCGCTGTAGGTGCTCGCGCCCAGAATGGCCCTCATCTGGTCGACGCCCAGAAACATGACCTGACGTGCAACGAACCAGCGGATGCCCTCATGGCAGGGCGGACTCGTCAAGCTACCACGGTAGGTCCAGAACTCGTTGAACTGCAGCACGCTGTTCAACGCCGGCATGTGGTCAATCTCGATCTCCTGCTGGACGCCGACGTCGTTGAAGCCGATCATGGGCGGCAGCTGGTTGAAGAAGGTGTTGTTGGCATTGCCGGGGTCCAACCGGATCGCCAGCACGGCCTTCTCGTGGCCCTCCTCATCCACGTGGACGAGGTGCAGCTCCGCCTTGGACCTGTCGCCGTTAACCGAGTGGTCGGCGGGCGAGTGGATATGCCAGCCCTTGAGGTAGAGCTTCATGTCGTCGTAGGTGAAGGACGGATTGCCTGTGTATACGCCTTCCGGGTGCGTGACGGTGAAGGCGGGGCCATAGCCCCAGTTGTAAAAGTTGCCCGCCGTGTGGTTCGGGTAGTCGAACCGGAGGATGTGGTTCAGCGCCAGTCCGTTGTTGAGGCTGAGCGCAATGGGCGATTGTTGCGTGCCGGTCTGGCACAAGGTGTAGTCTGAGTGCCGGCGTCAGTACATGTAGTCCAGTCTAGACCATCAAGGACGATCATTTAGCACGAATGCGACTTTAACTTACTTGGATTGAGTCGGCCCCAATTGAACGAGGCCTCATAGGCCCAGTCCGAAGCCGGCAACGGAGCCATTTCTGCACGCTTCCTGTCTGCCATGGCATAGTGGTTCTGGTGTCCCGCACATGCGAGGACATCAGACGCCATGAGCAGCGCGCCAAGGAATACTGTCGTGATCATTATGATAGCGGGATCTGAAGAAACTAGCTGCGATTTGCGATAGACCTCCGATCGTAACCTATTACCGTGAGGGCCTCGTCAAGCTTTATACTCTATTACACGGCAGCGAACTGCGGGGCGAAGCACGGAAATCCTCCTGGTCGGCCTGTATAACCTTAGGGAAGTGGGTTCATTTCCGCCTCCCGTATGCAGTGTAGCCGGCCTCGAGAAATCCTCCGAAGAGGGAAGGACGAGAACCTCGAGATGCATGACTGGTAGAACGTTGTAGCCGCCGGAGCCAAGACCTGCTAAGCAAAAGTAAAGGTAAGGGAGCACTGCTTTATCGTCAGATTCTGAACCCTTGATGCCGCGTTTTCCATAATGCTTGGCGCGCAGGACACTCTCTGGGCGCGCCGTATTAGAGATGCGCCGGAAATGATGGGCAGAATCAACGCATGAACCCGAGTACAGGGTAAACTCTGCATCGTTATACCGCTGGCTTTGCGTGAACCCCCTCTAAAGGTACCGCTATTATCGCTGTTTTGTCCGTAAATTGCCCGTATTATTAGCCTTTCTTTATCAATCATATCCCGCAAGCACGGGGCAGAGATGGGACGGTGGCGTAAAATTACAGGATGCGTTAGTTCTAATGGACAGGACAACCTGGGCACGGCTGGGCACGGCTGGGTGAGATACGCCCTACCGGTGGCTAAGTCCTTCCTTTCTACAGCTTTTTGACACTTGGCGGCGAGGCCGTTGTGTACCTTCGTGTGGCTTGGCTGACGCCTCATCGAACGTGTTTGTGTTTCTACCAAGACTCCGAGGCGGGGAACCTAACCCATTTGCCCTCAATTCCTTGGTCGAGCCCTGGATCACGGCATCTGGAATGGCGCTTGGTCCAAGATCCATCCGTACTCACGGTATGTTTCTCATCCTCGACTATCTTGGCCCTAGGGAGAGACAGTACCAGTGAACAGAGCAAAAGGGGTTTGGTCCGAGCACGTGGTCAGAATGCTGATGCGGCTTCCTCCGGCGACACAAAGTCTAGACTCGGACAAGACTTAGACCACTTATGTGAGATCTCATCTGGACGTGAATTGAGGCTGGTTAATATCTGATCGTGAATTAATTCGTGGAAATCACGAGTGCCAAGAACTACTGCAAGAGTGTGGGCAGCCATGCAAGACATGAGCAATCTGAGACTGGCGCTAGTTCTCAGGAGGGGCAAGCCGGAGGGAGGCTCAACATCGCTTTCAACTTCCTGCCCCCGGTTGCTGAGGAAACCTTTTTTGGATGACCTTCTCTTGATACCTTATCTCTTGAAGAGTCGACGGCAGTGGATCGCAGGTGGTCATGTTTGCTCTGGCCGCGAAATGGTTACAAGCCATCTTGAGCGGGTATAGCTTCACTCAATTCTATCGACATAGAGTTTTAATTTAGGAGCAAGGATGGCTATGGACAACAATGTGAGTCATTGGAGTAGAATGATCAACTCCCAACATCTGAAAACGACTTTCTTGTGCAGAAGTATTTCGCGGCTGATAGAGCCTAGTGCATAAAATTATTTGTTTCTCAAAACAGCCAAAGACAAGCATCGCAAAGTCACTATGAGCCCACTTGGCAGAATCACGAATTAAATCTATATTTAGGATAGTCAGGCTTTGGAATCCCGGCATATGATCTTGATGTAGACTAAAATGCAGGTTGTATTTGACTTACATGGACAGTAGTAAGGTACTATTGGAACCGAAGGAATTGCCACAAACTCTTGTGAACGAGATTCATCCACAGTGGATCATTGGCAAGGAAGGAATATTGTCAAGAAATGCTTTTGTGGAAGGTGAGAGCCGTGAGATACCAGATACAGAGATAGGGTATATACCAAGAAGAATATGGCTTTCTATGGGTTTCAGGCGAAAGAATAAGCCGGCTAAGTAGTTGATATGAATAAGGCAAAATTCAGAGGCAACGCGGTAGGACTGAGCAAGTTGCCTGAGCGAACATCTGTGAAAATGGAACGCTGCGCCATGTCGAACGACAACCTTGTAGGCCACATAGACTAACGTTCATTAGAAGCTTCAGTGTAAAGCGTTGGACAAGACGATAAGGACTTCTTTCTATCAAGGTGCCAGCCACTGTGTTTCTCACACTTCCCTCATCCATCGAATTGCAAATTCATATTTCCAGTTTACATCAACATTACCCACCACGGAATATCACTACATAGTGAGTATATCCAAATCTTCGTACAATACTTGACTCTATCTCAAGTATGCGGCGCAAGAAATGTAGATGTGGCCTTAGGAAGAGGAGCTAACAAGAAGCAGATCAGTCACACGAAAAACACATTCACGTCACAGCCGCCAAGATAGACTTTCGTTGAGGAAAAAAAATGGACTCACGCTGGGCTCTCACAGAAGAATGGTCTAAAGAGCAGGGTAACTTCACCATTTGGGACCAGGGATCCGACGACGCTGAAGCCCAATTCATCTACATCACACCAACTACCGAAGACGACGCAACTCCCGAGAAAGACAGCGCAGTTTCCCACATAGGACGCCGACAAGAGCTCGAGCCAGGCGTATCGCCAGAACAAGCAGATTTCGACGATGTTAAAAGGCCTTACAGGTGCGATGAGTCGAATCTCGCACCGGTAGAAGTATGCAAGATCCTCCTATGGGAAGTTCAACCTGCTCTGGCACGGCACACGACAAGGAAGGAGCCGCGTCGGTACTGTCTTGACCACGAGAAAGGCAAGTGTTGCATCGGCCACCGAATAGGCCCCGCGCAAAGGGCAAATATCAGACAAGGAACATTCCCACGAATAGGAGAGGCCTTAACGAAGCTGATTTACTTCTGTACGAATACGAATAGGATGTATGGGATGACCTCTGGCGAATGTAGGGTGACAGTATATGGTGTCGATGGTACTGCATGGGTTGATAATGGCTTTATCCCCGACCCAGTGAAAGTGAAGGATACCTAGTTGAGGGATGCATTCTTTGGTTCACTGTGAGCCAGTTGAGGTATTAGCAGTTTGGAAGGGGGCGGGAGCGTTTGGGTGAGGATGTAGTTCTGCGATTGACACATTGATCGACCACGTAATTACATCATGAACGATGGAATCGGGAACAGAAGGCGAGGGCCAGCCAAACCCATGCATCACTCCCCACGCTGGAAACAAGATAGATCCATTGGGATACTCAGTCAATTATAATCAATCATCACAAAGAACTCAGCATACCCGTCCCATCATGACACCCAATGTACTCAAAGAACTGCTGCTCAGGCTCTAGAACCAGAACCTCATGAAATAATGCCAAGGACATCTGGTCCCCCAACCTCTTGGCATACTTCGCGAACTCGGCGAAGATGGCCAGGTGCGTTCTGTGCTCTTTACTCCAGCGCTCCAGCGAGGCGAGGTTGTCAAAGTACGCCAGCCCGAAAGTCCGATCATGCCCGCCCTTGGCCGTCACGGGGTCGACGATCTCCATGAAGCGGCAGCTGAAGCAGCCGGCCTCGTCGCCGTGGTCACGAAGGTATTCCATACCTCTGACCAGCGGCGGCTGCATCGCGTCGAGGTAGATTTGCCGCTCTTCGGGGAGCGATGAGGACCAGTCTTGTCCAGACCGGATGACGGTGAGGTTCTTCTTGCCTTGGACGCGGACCCTCTCTGGCAGATGGGATTCGCCGTTCTGTGATGTTGATCCGTTGGTTTTCTGCTTGCTTGCTTCTTCCGGGTCTCCGAGAAGTTCATCTGTCTGGGATACGGGCAGGCGATCTCGCATGCTCCCCCAGTAGACATGCTCCTTGATGGGACCGCTAAGGCTGTCTCTCATGTGTGCTGCACCTTCCGGTACAGCGTTGGAAAACACAGTCTCAAACCGATCGGCCGTCGGGAGAAACACCTCCAAGAACCACCCATGCCGTGGCTCGTCCCCGGGCTTCGCCTCACTCCACCATGTTCGGAAACCGCTCTCGGTAGACCACTCCTCGTACGCGGTCTTGCTGGGCCAGTACGCAAACACCGCAACGTTGTAGAAACCCCGATTATCTACCACAGCCGCGGCTTCGTGGAAGGCCGGGCGCGAGGCCGGTGCGACTCGATCGGAGGTCGTGAAGGAGGCTATCGTCTTCAGTGCGCCGCCGTCGTGGAGGTCTACGGATGCGTACTGGGCGCCGATGATGGCCATGACTATGTCTTTAATGGTCTTGGGGAAGCGCGAACTGTATAGCTCGAAAGGTGGTACGAAGCCTGGTGGCGCCTTTGCGGGAACGGTGCGCTCTTTCCGGAGCCATTCTGGAATTGCGGATTCGAGTTCCATGACTGCGACTGGGTGTTTGGTGAAGGATGGAGATAGTAGTGTGGTGGTGGGAATCAGTCAATGGTACAGCGATTCTTTTTTCGAAAGAATTGTTCAAGGCACTGGGTTACGTCTGGAGGATATAGACGAAGTTCATCCTATAATCATTGCGGACTTGAATATTCCGCAACTTCATCTTGTCGGACTGATTTCCAAACCACTTGTCGAGCTATTCTAGAAACGATTCAAACGAAGTTGTGGTGTGAACACCATCAGGGAGCATATCAGATAATGGGAACGTAATTGAGACGGCACAGACGGGCAGTGAGGTCATAGAATCCAGGGATCCGGCGAGGAGAAGTGAAACCTACGCGTTTACAAAGATAGTTCGGGCGCATTACTCCCAATTCTAACCAACGGCATAATCGATAATACCAAGCTAATCATGGATGCACTAGATAGGATAGTGCTCAACCGGTGAAGCTAACCCCACCGACCACGCGGATCGCGTGCATTACTCTTGTCTGCAGGCTTGAACCCCTCTCCCTCACCGAATTACCCCGGATTTCATTGATAACGCGCTAGTGGCACAGCTCGGGAAGTGACACGACATCAGACGGAGGGACCAACGATGCGGATAGGGTATTGCTTAACCGTTGGGAAAATCTGGGGAATATGTAACTTGTAGGAGATAGAAGGGCGGCTGGGTCGGGTTAGTTTGTGATGTTCTTTTGGCAGTAAACAGACGATCTCCAAATGCGTTGGATAGGATAGTGCTGAGCCGCTCGCGATGCGGCACAGGAGAACCCCTCATCTAGATATGTTTGTTGGAGCAGGCGGAAAAGAATAGCCTCGCTTTTGAGCTACAAAAGAGAGAGAATCTGCCCGTGAATGAAGTTAAGTTCAGATAAATATCATTCAGCAATCCAACAGTCTCTCTCATTCCACCTCATAAACCCTCAATACCCAATCACTCTTACCTTAAAATCCACTCCGGATATCTCATAATAGAAATGGCTCCCAAGCTCAAGATCGCGGCCATCCAAGCCGAGCCCGCCTGGAACGACCTCGAGGGCGGTGTTACCAAGTCCATCGCTCTCATCGAGGAGGCTGCCAGCAAGGGCGCCAATGTCGTCGGCTTCCCTGAGGTCTTCATTCCCGGATACCCATGGTGAGTGAGAATGAGACACACACATCCTTCCCATTTTTCTCGTCCGCGACGGACCCCTTCATCTTGCTCTCCGCGTCAATGGTTTGGCTAATTTCTTACCGTCGAAAGGAGCATCTGGGCCAAGTCCCCCACCGATAATGCCGCCTTCATGGACGAGTACTTCCGCAACTCGCTCGTCAAGGACTCTGACGAGATGAAGCGCATCTGCGCCGCCGTCAAGGAGGCCGGTGTGTTTGTCGTCCTCGGCTACAGCGAGAGGTTCAAGAACACCTTGTACATTGCCCAGGTAAGACACTTGTCTCTTTTCTCTTCCCTCTCTTTCACTGTCTCGTGAGTATTGTTTTCTCACACATCAAAACAGTCCTTCATCGATGAGAACGGCGTCATCGTGCACCACCGCCGCAAGATCAAGCCGACCCACGTCGAGCGCGCCTACTGGGGCGACGGCCAAGGCGAGTCCCTGCAGACCGTCGCGCCTAGCACGCTCCACCCCTCGGTTAAGATCGGTGGCCTCAACTGCTGGGAGCACACGCAGACGCTCCTCCGCTACTACGAGTACGAGCAGGACGTCGACCTGCACGTCTCCAGCTGGCCCGTCCTCTGGCCTCACCCGACCGACAAGGACGGCGTCAGGCAGGCCGACTGGCCTCACCACATCACGGACGAGATGAGCATGCGCTTCTCGCAGGTGGTGGCGCTCGAGGGCGCATGCTTCGTCATGGTCTGCACGCAGGTCGTCAGCGAGGAGTCCAAGAAGCGGTGCCGGATCGACGAGTTTGGGTACGCGACAAACTCTGTCGGCGCGGGCGGCGGCTTCAGCATGATTTACTCGCCCTTTGGCGAGGAGCTGGTGAAGCGCCCGCCGCCGGGGGAGGAGTGCATCTTGTATGCTGATGTCGACCTCGCGGAGAAGGCCAAGGCGAAGCAGAACCTCGATATTGTCGGACACTACTGCCGTCCTGACCAGCTGAGTCTGCGGGTGAACAAATACCCTGCGCGTCCCGTTCACTACGCGGCCGACCCTTGAGAGGAGGATATGAGGATGAATCAATAATGAGATCAGAGGCTGTTTCTAGTTAGTAGTAGTGATGGATGATTGAGAATTCCCAGGAAGCGATAAATCCGTCGGCGAGTATGTCGGTTGAGTGTGTCTTTTGTTGTCAAACAGAGAGTAGAGGAAGTTGAGCGGCATATAATTAGTTGTGATTTCGCTTAGTTAGTAATTATCTTCATTCTCTCTCTCGAAATAATTCCCCTCCTACTACCTCAGCTCAGAGTCTCAGCTGAAGCCCCTCGTCCCCCTCCATTCCCCTTTATGTTTTAGAGTTTGGTCTAGTAGAAGCAGACGGGTGGATTGGGCGGAGCTTTTTCGATAACTGAGCGTGCGTTGATTGGGGAAGTGCGGGGTTTTCCCTCTCCCTTTTTTCTTTTCTTTTCATAACTGAAGCGCGTCGTTGGCTCCCCTCCCCTCCTCCATGATCCATCCCATCGGTAGTTGAATAATATTGAAACTGCGGTCTCTACCACATCGTCGGGACCTGTCAGAAACACACATCCACACTGACTTGCTGGATGGAAAATGCCTCTTCTGTCAACCGAGTAAAATCTAGCCGACTGGGCCCATATTTGCGGTTATTTGCTTTCCTTGCTCTCATACACACAGTACTCCCCCCCTCAGAACATGCCCGCGTGTACAGACTATACGGGCTTTTGATACACACCTGAGCCATGTCGACCTCTCTTCCCCAACGGCAGCCCGAAGGCAAAAAGAGACAGCGGGTCTCCATCGCCTGCCTCGCGTGTCGGCAGAGACGCATGCGAGTAAGTCGTTTCCCCGTTCATAACCTATCTCCCAACACTTCCCTTTCGCCATTCTTCCTTGTAGTGACACAAGAAACCCCGCCAGTGCGATGGACAGCAGCCCATCTGTGGCTCTTGTACGAGGAGGGGCACCGAGTGTGAGTTCCAGCACGCGGACAATAAACGCCGGTAAGTCGTGAACCAAGAGCCTTCCCCCCCCTCTCTCTCCCTCGCCTTTCCCCTCTCCCCTTTCCAAAGGCCCCAAGCTCCAAGCTCCAACCCCCCCCCCCCCTTCTCCGGTCTCCCGCGAGTCCCACAAAGATGTGGATCTCGTCACGACCGGTTCGTGCTTGCTGCCGCTGACAGCCACGGCCGTGTGTCACCGTCCCCAGACCACCCAGCAAGAAATACGTAGAATCCCTGCAAGCCCGGATCCGACATCTAGAAGCCCAAGTCGTCTCCCTAGGCTCCCAGCCGGCCTCCGGCGACCTCGCCGCCGAGACTACCGAGGACCACGACCCGCAAGACGACAGCGCCGGCGACGACGACGATGACGGAGGCGGTCCCCTCTCGGACCTCACCGGCCTCGTCGGCCGCCTCAACGTGATCGAGGACGGCCAGCTGCACTACTTCGGCTCCCAGTCCTCCTACAACCTCGTCCGCGAACAACCGCGCGACTCAGCCGCGGACCCGCGCGAGCCCTCCCTCAAGATGCAGCGTCAGGGCCTCCTCGCCGCCGCGCAGCTAGGTAAGATGGTCACCGTCCCGGACGAACTGCAAGCCCACCTCCTCGAGCTCTATTGGCGCTGGCAGAACCCGTGGAACTACGTCATTCACAAGAGCGCCTTTTTGCGGAGCTACCGCGGCGAGGATGACGGGACGTATTGTTCGCCATTGTTGCTGTGTTCCATCTTTGCTATTGCGGCGCGGTATTCTGATCGTCCTGAGCTGCGGTCCGTGCCGGATGATCCTAGTACCGCTGGAGATGCGTTTGGCGAGCACGCCAAGATTCTGCTCTTGTATGAGAGTGAGGCGCCGACGATTACGACGGTGCAGGCCGCCTGTCTTCTTGCGCTGAGGATCATGTCGGATGGCAAGGAGGCTTTGGGGTGGCTGTACTCTGGTATGTCATATGTTTATGCATCTAATCCTCGTGAGGGTAACCTACTAATGAGTGCAAGGAAACGCAACGAGAATGGCGCATAACCTTGGGCTTCATCTCGATTGTTCCAAATGGGCCACTGCCGGTCTGCTCACCGAAGAAGAGGCTGAAGCGCGGAAAGTGACGTGGTGGGGATGTTATGTCGTCGATAAGTGAGCAGTCTGCTTTTGTTTTCGCTTCTTCCTATTCTCACTTGGAATGTTCCATCTCACATGAGATTGTGATAGAGCAGCTAGCTGACATATCCCAAGGCTCTTTTCAACTGGGCTGGGCCGGCCAAGTAGCACGCCAAAGTCCACCATTTCCTGCCCAAAACCCAGCATAGACAGCAACGAAGAGTACACTCCATGGCTACCGACGTCAGACACACTGGGTGCCGAAAAGTCTCTCGGGGTCCATTCACACATCTCATCAACAGCTTGTCATGTGTCAGAGACGTTTACCATTGCTTGCGAATCAATGGACATAATGTATGTTGGCCCTAGCCTCACGCTCATTCTGATTTGCGAACTCTTCTAACGCATTGTCTCTTTTAGATACGCCGCTAACAGCAAACTGTCGACACGAGAAATTGAAGACGTCGTTAGCAAAACTGACGTGCAGTTACGGACGCACTACAGAGAGCTGCCGAGCTACCTTCGCTTGCCGGCCTCGCCAAAGGTCCCGATGCTTCCTCACGTTTGCCTCTTCCAGTACGTTCTGTGATAGCATTGCGATGCACCCCTTCTCTCTGAAAAAGTAAGTGAGCAGGTCAATGGGCGATGACTAACCAATGATTGCATTGCAGCATTCAATATCATGCACACTTAATCCTCTTACATAGACCGCTCGTTCATAAGCGAAAGAGACGTTCGGTCAGCGTAAATACGCCAACCGATGACGGCAGCA